GCATGCAGAATGCATGCGGATGAGTCGAGGTTAGCCCCCTCCCAAAGCACCAGGCTGGCGGTCACCACGCACCCAACGTGCGCTTGACATGGTCCTGAAAGACCAAGCAGATCCAGCAGGGTTTCCAAGATGGTGACGTGTTTCACTCAGGATTCGGCCCCAAAAGAAAGTGCCAAGAAGATTCCTTTGTCCAGGTCAAGTCATTGTGGTCTTCGGAGCAGGTCAGGTGGGTGCTTCGCCTGCTCCTTTGGTCGCTAGAGTGCTCGACATGACCAATCCAAGTGCTCGACATTACTTTCCCAACATAGCCCCTACCTGGAAGAGGTAAACCTACGTAGTATTCCGAACTGTTCTGGGAGCTACACATGCATACACACACCACACGCATACACACACACATTTTAAATATAATTTGCACATATACACATGCATACACATAATACCATAGATATATAGATGTATTTTTTGGTGTGGTTTGTTACATTGCTTCTTTTTAGCCTCGCGATCTTCTGTGCAAATGGTTGTTTTGACACCAGATAAGTTCCTCGTGGGAGCAGTTCCTCTGGGATGCAACATGCTACAGATGTCAAGAGATTTGGACCGTTCTTTTTTTGCGCTGGCCTCCGAAGCAAACCTGTGATAGGTGTCCTTTCATGTGGCCAACTGCAATCTGAGTGGTTTTCACAGCGGTGCAAGATTCATATACTGTGATTGAAGCACATTTCCCACTTCGTACACCAATGTTCTCCTTTGTCCTCCCAGTTCACAAACACCAACCCGTCAGCAATGGGAAGATCCGACACAAACGACTAACCTGTCCAGCGAGGCTGCAGGGAGGTTTTAGGGACCGAAAAGGGGCAGGCACTTGCTGAGGAGACATGGGGGTGGGGGCCCTACTAAGGAGAGGGGAATTTGTATTGCCGTAGGGAGGTTCCCATGTTTCGAGAGGCAACCATTTGGCATTTCTTGTATATGGAAGAACATGGAATACAAGTTTGTTTGACATGTGATTAATGTTTCTATGCTTCTTCAGAATTGCATCCCTTGATGGCACTGCACGGAATTTCGGGGCATCCAGATGCCTTCGGACAAGGTAGCTGCAGCCAGCAAACTCAAACAAATCATCTCCAACCCCTTTCTTCAGGGTCCCTGGCAAGTGAGCAAGATTGACAGGATGTATTGTGTAGCGCGTGGTAACATAGGGGGACTGGGGAGTCACCCACTGGGAGGGCTTTGATGTGTGAATGCACACGGCAGCCGGGCAACTGAAATGGCCTCCACCCCAGTCTGCCTTTGGGCGAACTGCCTGCCAGGGCGCCCAGAATGTTTCACCCATCATACGGCTTGGAACGTGCGACTTGAGGCTCCACGGCAAGTTCGGAATAGATGATCATAGACACACATAAATTAATATCTGCACGGGTGATGGCGCCATTGGGGTCCAAGGGCTTTAGTACAGAAGCACTCTGGCGCAGCAGGCTCTGGTCCACTTTTGAACAGCCTTGTAGGGGCCACGCAAGGAATCACAGAACAACCCATCATCCATATTCCATTCTGGATCATGAGGGATTTGGAAGGAGAGGCTCGGGCTTCTGACATACCACTTCGCTCTTCCATGTGTGACCATGAACCTCCTCTTGCTTATCATGCCGAACGCCGCGCAGTCGACATCGCAAGCCGCATTTGACACCACTCTCGGCCGGTTGAACACCGGGCGCGTGGCGTTTTTCGACCCTCAAAGCGGAGCTGGTGGCTTTGGAAGTGTTCCCCCACCGCGCGGGGTAATTGACTGTAATGATAAGGAGGTGTTGTTCATTGAACCCACAGCCATGCAGTAGCCTGAGTTACAACATGTTACAACAAAGAAATGTAGAAACGTTCCGATTTGGTTTGTTTGGAATCTCCGTGACTCAGAACGTATCCCTCAACATTTTTTCGGGCAATTGTTGGCTAACAGAAGGGGATTCCAACTCTTCTGTTGGTGTTTGCCCTGTTATTTCCTTGCGATATCTTGTGATATGAAGCTGCTACCCACCACCCTCATGACTCATGCTTGTGCAATGTCCCTTACATTTAGTAGGGTTGTGATCATGCCCACAAAAATCTCGTGGTGGCAGAGAACACCTATGGGTTGATGTCATGAATCTCTAGTTGGACAACCACACCCAATTTTCCCCATGTATATACACTCACTCTTCTTTGATGCCTCCCTAGTCCTTCCCTCCCGGATCTTCCTCGCGGGTCTCACCACTTCCCACGTACCTCAGTCAGAACGTGGCCCGAGCGCAGGAGGCTTTCATGGGCCATCAGAGGGTCAGATGGACGTCCAGCTCCGCATGATGTGGTTTAGATGGATTTGGCTGGCAAGCCCGGGCTGCCGCCAGAGTTGAGGCAGAAATGTACTGAGGCTCTCGCCTCAACGTGCTTTAAATCTCGGTATTGACATCAACTCAATTCAGGTGGCAAGCACATGTGGTTGTGTTGATGCTTGTTTGTGTGACTTCAACCAGTCTTCATGTCTGCTTTCGCGCGCATAATTTTTTTTGCGCAAACGTTGTGCTCCACGTGGCCACGGAGAAAGGTGCAAAGACTGTTGTGCAGCTTGGGCCAAACCAAGTAACAAGCTATTGTAGTAGTAAGGGACCTTGCTACTAGTAGCTTCTTGTTACTAGTAGTAATGCCCTTGTTACTAGCAGCGTCTTGGTTTCTTTTTCAGCCCGCACGTGTTCAACTATGCGGTACTGTAGTTGGTAGCTTCTGTCTCGTGTGCAGCCCGCACGTCACACGTATAGACACCTCAGTGGATCAAATCGGTGCTTGATGTTTTGGGGGACAGATCAGCTAGGAGCCACATGGGCCTACGGAGTCTTGCATGCATTTGCTCAATGTCGCTTTTGGGATCAAAAGGGCTGGAACTCGCAGTTTGACATGGTTCATTGAAACATGACATGGGCAGCATTCGCCCATCGAGATGAAGAAAGCTCTGAATTGTGGAACAGGTATGGGGCTCCAAGCTACACGCTCCAGGTCGCAAGAAGTCCAATTTCAGTCAGTGAAGACGGTCGAGACGACCATGGAAGGTTGCCACGTGTGGCGTCACAGCCATGATCAGGAGAGACTGGAGGCAGAGTCAGGATGAGGACAGTGGCAAGAATGAGGGGGCGGTGACGGCTTGGTCGGCTTGGTGTTGATGACGGAATCTTCGGGTGAAGCCAGTTGGTCGATGCCCAGTGAAAGACACCATCTTTGAGAGCAACCTGAAGCGTATCGGGCAGATGGTCGCATTCCTGGACACATGGAAGGAACCTGTCTACCGCAGCGGAGTTTGGACGATCTTTGAGCAATTCGCGGCATCCAGGCTCAACATTCCGGTATGTTTTGTGATGCCCGAGTCTTCTGCCGCCTCAGTTCAAGAGCAGATTGATCGCGGTAAAGACGGCATCCGTGAAATGACTGAGTCCATCAGTGGTTGCATCAATTTGGCCAGGGCGATGGCCTGGGACCCGAGGGATGAGATGAAGGTGAAGACGTTGATCCAGAGGACAGTGGGTTTTGAGCACGTGGACAGGCATGTCACCGAGGTCATGACATGCTGGATCGGAGGTGTTGTGGCGACGCAATTCAAAGAGCTCATTCACGAAAGCCGGAGGCGCCACTTTGGTGAGCTTACCAACGATGTATAGACATGTGCAAAATTCTAGATATAGTTCTGGCCTTCGAAGGTTGGCATGGTTTGATTGGAGACCCTCCCAAGATTTGATGTGGCTTAGTTCTTGTTGCTGTACAGTCTTTGCCCGTGTCCTGTCGGGGGCACTTTTACGCAGAGGGGTCGCTGTGGGACGGCTGTGTTACAACCAGACGTTGCAGAGGGAGGGGGGTGCAACCTTGCAACATCCATTGCCATCAACAACCCACTCCCAATTTTTCCTGAAGCGAAGCGATGTTGGGTGGGCTCGAGCCGTTTGAGGTCAATCTGCTGGCGCCGTCTGCCGTGGCGCGTGCGGTGTGGACACATGCAGTGCTTCACCGGGCAGCGGGACTTCGGAGAAACAGAACAAACTGCGGAGTATGAGGATTGCTTTGTGGAACACCTTGCGGCGATGATCGTTTTGTGGCTCAGATTCAGCGACGGGTTTCTGGAGTGCCCACATAACTGGATTTAAAGTTGATATACTATAAAAAGTCAGTAATGTGTATAGAATGTTTCAGATTTCGTTTTCAATGGCAAATTGTTGGACCTGTGGACAACATTATAGACTCAGACTTCGAACCTGGGCATTCGCCCTGATGGCTTGAGGGGTCGTCAGCCGTGGGGTCGTCAGATGTTAGGTGGACGTCCAACTCAGCTTCGCATGATTTGATGTATCAATGGACCTGGGATCTGGCTGGCAAGCCCTGGCTGACAGTGGCCAGTGTCAGAGTTGGGCGAGGCAGAAGCATAATATAGAGCGTCATCAACTTGACTTGAAGCAAATTAATCGACAAGCCGATGTGGATGTTGGTCTTGGTGTTTTTTTGGCCACATGAACGTGGTGAACGTGTTCTTTTGCGCGCTTTCTGCGAAAACCGTTTGCCCCACTTTGCCATGGGGGACAAAAACAACACGGTGCATTTGTGCCTCTCGGCCTTTGCGGCTTGGGCAAAAACCCGGTGTTCAACTACGATTCCGTCGATGAGACTCTCAGCTGTTTGGCAGTTCCACGTGGACCGTTCGTTGTTTTTTGGGGCTGCTGTTGGCAGCCCGCACGTGCCACATGGCAGTGGATCAACTAGCATTGCGTGCATGTGCAGGAATCCTTGGGAACAGCGGGGCGTAGCAGGGCAGATCAACTAGAGCCGCATGGGCCTAATTACAGAGTATTGCTTGCATGTGCAACAGCTGTTGCTCAAGGATTTGGATGGCACTGGCAAAGTTTTTTGGCTCAAGGGGACTGTGGCGCACAGTTGGATGGTTCATGACAAAAACTGCTGAACTGACATCGCCAGCATTCACAGGTGAAGTTGAAAAATGCAGCCTTTGAAATGTGGAATGGGTTTGGGGTTCCAAGCTAGGCACTCCAGCTCACAAGACCATAGAAATCAATTCTACCCAGTGAAGACGACCACACCATCTCTGTGGCTCTCACGATGGCGCTTGGTGTCGAGGAGATGCGGCAGGGGATCGAATGCCTTGAGAGAAACTGGCGCTGGGCGAATGCCTTGGCATTCAGCGCCGGACCGGTGGAGTCGTCGGACGAGTCCAGTATTTCCACGTCCTCGAGCGTAGGGGTCATGGAGGGTGCCGAGCACATCCATTTTGAGGCTCTGACATCGTCGTGCTCTAGGTCGTGCTCTACGTGTTTTTCCGGCCGCTTCGCATTGTTGAATTGTGGGATCTAATTTTTGGACCCTTGCACCAGGTATCCACAAACCTCCCCTGCCTCTAACAATTGCCGGCCCTGCCGGAACTCCCATTCGTCGACCACGGCTACGGCGCTCTCTGACTCATGCAATCTGTGCAATTGCACCGCACTCGCTCACGCGCTCACACTATCTCACATTCTTTGTCCAAAGGTCCCAGGTCCGAATTGGACTCCCCCGTGATTCCTACTGGCCGAAACCTTGGTTCCTTAAATGGATCCCATTTTGTTGGGACCCCCTATTATATACTGTATAACTATAAAAGAAAACGCAACGTAGATTCTATGTTTTTGTATGGGGGCGGGGGCGTGCTTCTTCATAGGTCATAGGTGGAGGGAATTTTGTACTTAACACGTTGCTCAAACCCCGAAGGAAAAAATGGGGTTGATTCCAGCTCGGAATTTTCTCGACTATCTAACACACAAGAACAAATATCACTAGACAGGCATGGTATTCTCGTTGTTTTTGTGGGTGCAGCATCCGGACAGCCATGAGCCACAGACAGGGGATCCTATAGCATCTAGATTGGTTAGTATGAGTTTCTCGCATCAACGAATCACATGCTTCCGGTGAGGCCGGGGAGGCTTTGAAGAGGCTGGGCCAAGAGCTACCATCCGAAAGCCCCAGATTGGAGCGCAGATCGCCGGAAGCTTGGTGAGGTTCCATGAGATGTTGGTTCCCAGTCCATTTGGGGCCCATAATTAATGTGGACCCTTGATGAATAACAGAACTTTGGAATTCCTCTTCATATGGAGGGTTTACTAATCAAGAGTCTACATTATCCATCCACCCATCTCCAAAGCAGGTAGAGCCAGGTTCGCTCAAACCGATCGGCCCAAAACTCTGCGAGTTGCTGGGCACCCGCCCGACCCCGACAGACAGAGATGGACGCCAACAGACAGAGGTGCAACACGTATATTTCATGTGGAACATGTGTTGCGTTCATTTTGCCTATAGCAGTTGTTGATGTTTTTGTGGGTGTGACCAGCAAGAAGGAAACTAGAAGAGGTTGACAGTCGGCCATTTTCTATGTGACCATTGGGCCAGGGGGAACCATGAGATACACCGTTCCCACGTTTTGGGCCTCATTCCCGCACTCCGGGTGCAACGTTGAGACGGCGCATATGCACCACCTATGCGATCCCAAACCAGACATTTGCGCCATCAACTCTTTCGCAAAGTCACCCTCCCTATTCGAAGGGGTTTCACCTTCCCAGCTTGGCAAGATGTGGGTTCCTTATGATGCAAACATGTTACGTGGGAGTTGGGGCATCAGTGCACCTGTTGCGCAGCGCACCCAGCATTTGGGTACGCACCCAGCAGCGCACCCCTACTACTCTCTATATACATTATATATATATATACTGTCCATGTTGCATTTTTTGTAACCACCGGACAAGAAAGCTGAAGGATGCATCTCTTGAGAGGTCTCTCCCATGTGTCTCCAGAACCGAGGAGGTCGTTTTCAAGGAGATTGAGGATTTGGCCTATCTGGTTGATCCTGTTCTGGAGACCTCAGAGCAGGTCCAGAAACTGCAAAAGATTTGGCTTTTAGCTTTGGAGATCAAAGGCTTCTTGGAGCAGGAGCAGTGCCTCCAGCCCGAGTCGGGGAGGCTTGTGGTGCATTGTGGAGTTCACCACCTGTTTGTAGAGGGTTTCATGGTCAACAGGCCATGCCAGGGCCACGCCATCCATTTCCAATAAGAACTTCAGGGAGTGAGCACACACATCCCGCTCCGAAGCCCAATCATAGAGAGTGTAAACAGACATGCAAGATGACCTACTTTGATCAACCATTCCGGGCCGCCAGGCGCAGAACCAATGTAGAAAATAGATGAACATAAATCACTTCCTGCACTTCCAGGTTCTTTGGCGCAGCTAAGGTTCCGGTATGACCATGTCAATGTCCTCGTCCCTTATGACGAGGTCCTTGATATCCTCTGATATGTCGATGTCCGTGACCTCCACACGTTCCGCCAGCCCGGCCAGATCTCACCGTCCACGGCTTGACATCGCAACTGGGAGCACCGTGGGAGCAAGTCATTCAGGAGTGAGGCCGTTGCAGGCAAGCATGTCCAGAGGGAACCGAAATGCACAGAAGACTAGTTCTGATTCTGACTTGATTTTGTTGGGTGTTCCTCCTTTTAATCGGGCCTTGGAGATTTTTTTCACCAAAGCCATCACCAGCAGGCGATCCTCTTGCAGCTGATCAATGAGTACTACACACGGCTGAGAAACGACCAGTACCGCCACCAGGTTTGCCCGCACTTTCACAACCTCAAGCGAGTGGCTCCCAACCTTGGCCTCGTCCTTTATTGCCGCGTGTGTGGTGAGATGAAAGTCGCCATCGCCTTCAGCGCGTGCAATCATTGCGGTGACTGGTGCATTTGCGGTGGGTGCAACGGGAAAGAGATTGACGAGACTTATGTCAGGTTTACCAAGGAGCGAGTGATGAATGCGATTCAGGATGTCATGCAAAGCACCCAGAGGTATCAGCAGGCCACCTTGACCGACACTGAGGTCAGGGATTTGAAGACCCTTGTGGTCCATGCCTGCATTTGTCCCAATGTGACTGCTGATGCTTACCGTCGCTTCGTTGGCTATGTTTTTATGCTGGGGGAGAGACATGGCCGCTTGCTAGAGGCCCAAGCATTTCTCCAGATGTTGCTTTGCTGCAAAGCCGGGCAGACATCAATGAAGGAGTTGCACATGTCATAGGCCCTTCATCCAAAATACATAGCGTCGCTGGAAAATAGATGACAATTGTTTTCCAAGATGCCATTGCCTGAGGTAGAGCCTTGTGCTTTTTTTAAAGCATCAACAGGCCGAAGATATACCTACTCTCCTCTCTCAAAGAACCTTCTCTCATCCCGGAAAGTTCGATAGCCGATCATGAGGGAGGCCGATCATAACATGTGCAGGTTAGGAGGTGGTGGCAAGTGGATAGGACATCCAAGCAAATCCAGTGAATGCGGTGAATGGACCTATCAGCAACCAGCAATCCGTTTATTCTCGTTCGGTTGGGCTACATCGACAAGCAAGTACTGCTGCTGCCTGCTGCCTGCTGGTGTTGCTGGTGATGTTGCGCTGCTGCTTGCCTGGCTTGCTGGTGGTGGTTTGCTGCTGCCCTGCTGGTTTGCTAGTCTACTGCTGGTCTACTGGTGGTTTGTTGCTGCTGCTGCTGCTGCTGCTGTCCACCCTTCGTTGCTTACCAACCTTTCGTCCGCCCCCTCCTTTTCTCAAGTATTGGTCTGGTCTAGTCGGAACATATCGGATCCAAATCTGGGCCTCCCTCGAAACCCCGACTGGGAACGAACCACTGAAGATAGGCACGTGACTGGGCACACGAAACGGCTTTGTGACATGAAACTGCCTGTGTGATGTGGGATGCTATGGGCACTTCTTGGGATGAGAAATGGGGGTTCACCGAGATGGGTCGGCTGGGTGTTTGATTCAGCTGTGGGCTGTTTTTAGCCGTGGTGTTTCTCGTGTACTGACGCCCGTGTTCTTTGAATCGTTGCTTTTTTCAATACTATATTGTAGTAGATAGTCTAGGTTACCCTTTGTAAGGTTATCCTTCCAATATACTACAATATAGTAACCACCTAGACCTAGACTAGTATCTAGACTATATTGTAGAGTTACCCTTTGGAAGGCTTGTCTCGGGGTGGGAGTCGGGGTGCTGCCGCGCTGTCTCGGAGTTGTGGCCCGCTGGCTGGACACCTGAAAAGAAGCCATCCGCACCACCTCTCGCTATGAAAGGTTTTCATGAACCACACCTTTCAACAGAGGTTAAGTGACCTTATAGGACCCTACAGGGGTACCTATAGGATAATCTATATATATATAGGGTTCTTCAACCTCTGCTGGTTGTGAGCTAGGTGGACCATTCTTGTCCAAGCCCTAGCGCTCCAGGTTGGCGACGGAAAAGGCGGAGTCTCTTCAAAGGTGGGACGATCAACTTGCCCGCAGAGCCGCGGGCGGGTTGCTGGATTCGGCAGAGAAGGAGCGAGTAGCAACAGACACCTGGTGAAGAATTCTGAGGCTGCCCAAATGGGATTAGCACAGCTCAAAAGATCAATGAACATCGCAGTTTCTTTGAAACTCCTGGCTCAAATCCCCAAGGCCACTTGGGGCAAGCCCCTGTATAAACGACCATTTGTTGGGAATTGAGCCAATCGTTTTGAGGAGGGTATTGAGTTTTATTGAATCTGACTCGTGTTGTTCGGTGCCGAAAGGGTTGACGTTTCTGCTTTGGCCAGTCGGTTGGTAAAAACATGTTTTCACGCATGGTTTGCACCATAGGTAGTAACATGACTACAGAGATAGAGCGGCTTTAGCAAAGTTTTAGTGAATCCCCCTCCATTGTGAAGCCATTTATTTGCTGCACTCGATGGCTTACATATTTTTGTCTCATGAATATAAAACTGGTTTGCATATGCAGGCCGTCGTTGTGCAAAGAAAAACATGATGAGGCTACCATGCGGGGAAGACATCAAAAAACCATTGACATTCATCAACTCCTTCCCTGTATGTCATGCT